GTGCCTCACACCTGTAATCCCAGCACCTTGGGAAGCTGAGGCGGGTGAATCATCTGAAGTCAGGAGTTTGAGACCAGCCTGACCTGCATGGTGAAACCCCATCTCTATTAAAAATACAAAAATTAGCTGGATGTGATGACAGGCACCTGTAATCCCAGCTACTCAGAAGGCTGAGGCAGGAGAATCACTTAAACCCTGGAAATACAGGTTGCAGTGAGCCAAGATGACACCATTGTTTTTTTTTTGTTTGTTTGTTTCCCTGTGCCTGTAAAAGTTACGCTTACTCTATACTGTAGTCTGTTAAGTGTGCAATAGCATTATATCTAAGAAAACAAAAACCTGTATTGCTAAAAAAAATACTAATGATCATCTGAGCCTTAGCAAGTCCCAATCTTTTTGCTGGTGGAAGGTTTTACCTCCATGTTGATGCCTGCTGACTGATCAGGGTGGTGGTTGCTGACATTTGGGATAGCTGTAGCAGTTTCTTAAAATAAGACAACAATGAAGTTTGCTACATCAATTGGTTCTCCTTTTCATGAAACGATTTCTCTGTAGTATGCAATGCTGTTTGAGAACATTTTGCCCATGGTAGAACTTCTTTCAGAATTGGAGTGCAGTCGGACATGGTGGCTCATGCCTATCACTTTGGAAGGACAAGGTGGAAGGATTGCTTGAGGCCAGGAGTTTGAGACCAGCCTGAGCAACATAGCAAGACCCCTTCTCTGCAAAAAAAAAAAAAAGAAAGAAAGAAAACTTTTTTAATCAGCCACTAGTAACACACACACTTATAGTCCCCAGCTACTTGGAAGGCTGAGGTGGCAGGATCACTTGAGCCCAGGAGGTCAGGGCTGCAGTGAGCTGTGATTACTCCACTGCACTCCAGTCTGGGCTACAGAGCAAAACTTTGTCTCAAAAAAAAATGTTTTTAAGTAAAATTGAACTGAATCTTCTTACCCTGCTGCTGTTTTATCAACTAAGTTTATATATTCTAAATGCTTTGTTGTCATTTCAACAACTTTCACAGCCTCTTCACCAGAAGGAGATTTTATCTCAAGAAACCACTTTCTTTGCTCATCCATAAGAAGCAGTTCCTCATCCCCTCAAGTTTTAGTGTGAGATTGAAGCAATTCACTCACATCTTCAGGCTTCATTTCTAATTCTTTTTATTTCCACATCTGCAGTTCCTCCACTGAAGTTCTGAACCCCTCAAACTCATCCATGAGAGTTGGAACCAATGTTTTCAAACTTCTGTTAATGTTGCTGTTTTGACCTTCTCCCTTGAATCACGAATATCTAGTATCTAGAATGGTGAATTCTTTCCAGAAGATTCTTCTTTAATTCACACATGTCCATCAGAAAAATCACTATCTATAGCAGCTGGAGCCTTATGAAATGCATTGCCTAAATAGTAAGAATTGAAAGTTGAAATGACTCCTTGATCCATGGGCTGCAGAATGGATTTGTGTTAACAGTCATGAAAACCACATTAATCTCCCTGTTTCCATCAGCGCTCTTGGATAACTAGGTTCATTGTCAATGGGCAGTAATATTTTGAAAGAATCTTTTTTTTCTGAGCAGTAGGTCTCAACAGTGCGTTTAAAATATTCAGTAAACCATGCTCTAAACAGATGTGCTGTCATCTAGGCTTTGTTCCATTTTTTGGAGTATAAGCAGAGTAGATTTAACATGATTTTTAAGGGCCCCAGGATTTTCAGAATAGTAAATGAGCATTGGCTTCAGCCTAAATTACCAGTTGCATTAGCCCCAAACAGAGTGTCACCGTATTTGAAGCTTTGGAGCCAGGCATTGTCTTCCCCTCTATAGCTATTAGAGTCCTAGGTGGCATCTTATTCCCAAACAAGACTGTTTCATCTACATTGAAAATCTATCATTGAATGTAAACACGTTCTTTAGTTATCTTAGCTAGATCTTCTCAGTAATTTGCTGCAGCTTCTTAATCAGCACCTGTTGCCTCACCTTGCACTTTTACATTATAGAGATGGCTTCTTTCCTTAAATCTCCTAAATCAAATTCTGCCAGCTTCCAACTTTGTTTCTGCAGCTTCTTCACCTCTCAACCTTCATAGGACTGAAGACTTGAGTTAGGGCCTTGCTCTCTGGATTAGTCTTTGGCTTCAGGGAATGTTCTAGCTGGGTTGATCTCTCCAGACCACTAAAACTTTCTCCCTATTAGCAACAAGGCTGTTTTGCTTCCTTATCATTCATCTGTTGACCAGAGTAGCACTTTTAATTTCTTTCAACAACTTAATTTCTTTACCTTCTCAGTTTGGGTAAATGTTTGTCACAAGAGGCCTAGCTTTCAACCTGTCTCTGCTTTTCAGCATGTCTTTCTCACTAACCTTAATCCTTTCTAGCTTTTGTTTTAAAGTGATAAGCATGCAACTCTTCCTTTCACTTGAACTGTTAGGAGCCATTGTAGGGTTATTAATTGGCCTAACTTCAATATTGTTGTGTCTCCGGGAATAGGCAGGCCCAAGGAAAGGGAGAGAGATGGGGCAACAGCCGGTCAGTGAAACAGAATACTCACATTTATTGATTTCACCATCTCTTATGAGCGAAGTTCCTGGCTCCCCAAAAACTGTAAAAGGTTGAGCCAGGAGGATTGCTTGAGCCCAGGAGTTCAAGACCAGTCTGGGCAACATAGTGAGACCCCTGTCTCTACAAAAAATATAAAAAATTAGCTGGACATGGTGGCATGTGCCTGTAGTCTTACCTATGTGAGAGGCTAAGATGGCAGGCTCGCCTAAGCCGGGAGATTGAGGCTGCAGTGAGCCGGGATTGGGCCACTGCATTCTAACCTGAGCAATAGATCATAACAGTCATAATTTTTTGAGTTTAACTGATGTGTTCCAAATACCTTGACATTTAATTAGTTTGACAAAATTAATTTATAGTTACAGAAATCAGATTGGTGGTAAAGTAACATGAGGGAACTACCTGGGTAGATGCAAACATTCTGTATATTTTGGTTGTTACATATGTGTATTCTTTTGTCAAAAGTCGTTGCTGTACAACTAAAATTTGTCAGTTCTTCAGTGAAGTTGTTTTTTTGTTTTTTAATACCCTCACTGCCAAAAAACAGTTGTAGGCACAGAGATTTAAAAATAAATGATCTAGCCTGAATGAAACTTTTAACTAGAATATTGTTAAAAGACATGCATGTATTTCGTTATCACTTAATTGACTAAAAAGTAGATTAAACCAGTCACAGGTCTTTAACTTGACAAATAAACAGATTTTACTGAGTGAAACATTGGCAACTAGACTAAAAATATAATTGTCTAGAAAAAGTTTTAAGATTTAGTTTTTTCTTACATTATATTACTACATTTATGAATTTTAAGATTAATGAACTTTTGTTGTGGACTTAGCTGAAATCAGTAAAGTAGCATTTGTCAGCCACGATAGAAATGCTTATTTTCTAATAAATGAAAATCACATAAAGTAAATGTTATGTTACAAATTACCATTATAAGCAGACCTGTTGGCTTACAAATGGTAAAACTTTCTTGCCCTTTTGCTATATACATCATGATTGTCTTTTGAGTGCTTTAACTGAAGTACAGAGCCTGATAAAAAAAAATATTTTTCTAGAGGCAGTAATTAAGTACAACATAGCTGGAAATGTTAAGCTTGGTTTTAGACTACCTTTTTAGGAGCTGAGACATACCAAGTCTTTGCTGAATAAGTCTTAGTGTGCATATCCTTAAGTAATTCTACATGTGGTATTATACTGTGAGAAAATCCATAGTAGAGTGTCTATACACTTGATCTTAGCCAAGAGGCCGAGAAGCGATAGTAGAGTGTCTATAAATGTCAAGATTACCTTTAATAAAATATGTGATTAGGTGATGTGTTCAATATATTATTTGTAGAGAACTAATTTTTTATAACCTTACACAGAACTGAATATCATTTTCAGGTTTATTACTGAATACATAATCAATTAGATGATAACATTTTTCTCCTGAATGTGTTCTTGCCCTTTAGTTTATCCTTTGAATTATGATTTATCATCTATTTTAGGATATGTAGGAATATTCATTAATTGACTGTATTGTGATTATGAAGTAAAACTAGTTGTAACAGTGTTGCAATTAGTAATTTTTTTTATAGTCTTGCAATTATCTCGCAGCATTTAATACTTGTTTAAAATGGTTTATATGAATTAAATCTGTACAACCAGGGGATAAAATGTAAACAACTGCACTATTAGGAAGATATTAAAGTAGAGGCTATATTTACAGTGTCGTCTTTCAAATCTAGCTATGCTGTAAACTGATGTTTGCTGTATGCTCCTCCTGATTTGAAATAGATGAAAGAAAATGAACCTATTATCACCATGGTTCACACAATGATTGAGAACTCGGCGCTAAGACCCCAACTGTACCAGCAAGTAAGGTCTTGGACAGTGAATGATACTGCTTTATCATCTGCAAAATCCCTCAGTGACAGTTTTGATTTATCCTCAGATTTACTCATGACATCAGTGTTTTTCTTATTTTATTTTTTGTTTATGTTTATTTGGAAAACCACAATTCATCCATGCTTTTCAAGATGCTGCAGTATTCTTAGCATGGCTTCGCTGAACATTTTGCTGTTGAATATTAAATGTGCCATTTTCCTAAAGTTTTTGTGCAGAGTATTTGATTGTTATGTACTTGGAGGTCTGCAGTACATTTGCAAAATTACTAGATTTCCATATGGTTTTATTAACTCTAAAATCATTATATCTAATTTTTAGAGAAAAGGCTTTGTAAAAAATATTTACTTTCAGGGGTAGCCCTCCACAGCTTCCTCCAACCTAGTGTTTAAATCTAGTTTCTGTGCTATGTTATGGTAAAACTTAAAGGTAGCCACTTTTTAACATACTGGTGGGTATTTTCACCCAGTATTCTTAACCATTCTCAAGCAGTCCTCAAGACTATCATATCTTACCCTATTCTTTTTCCGAACTCAAAATGTGTGTCTTGGAGTTGGCTGGCTTTAACTTAGGAACCTTAGTAATCTGCAGATCTGCAAAAGAAGTCATATACGTTTCTATCAAACTTTTGTGTATTCATGGTCTAAATGTTTCTAGCTATGTGTTTCTCAACATCAGCTTCTTCCACTTCAGCACCCTCAAATTACTCTGGCCTATGACCTGTTACAATCTTTTAAAAATCATGCAGAAGAAGAAAATTAACTAACATGAAAAATGAATATGTATTTTGATTAAAATATATAAGGCACCTATTAAAAAGAAGGACTTTGAGCTCACACTGGCTTTTAAGGCCTCTATTTGGTTTAGTTGCCATGGGATCTGCATCACAGGGCCATGTAAATGAAGAATGGATACAGTTCATGAGAGGGTGACGTATTTCAGTACAGTTTTCAAAATATTTAAAGTACATTATTAGATGACTGAAAATAGTCTCAAATTGTAATAAAGAGATTAATAAACTATTAAATATTTAAAGTTAAACAGCTTTACTTATCAAAAGGAAATGAACTCTTTCAATTCTTAAAGTCACCAGATTATAGGCCTTGGTACTTTATTCCTGAGTACCGCACTGAGAGTCTTAACACTTATTCCAAATCTGATACCTTCTGCAATGCCTGATGTTGTCAGTAAAATATGTCATTTATGCCGGGCGCGGTGGCTCAAGCCTGTAATCCCAGCACTTTGGGAGGCTGAGGCGGGTGGATCCCGAGGTCAAGAGATCGAGACCGTCCTGGTCAACATGGTGAAACCCCGTCTCTACTAAAACTACAAAAAATTAGCTGGGCATGGTGGTGCGTGCCTGTAATCCCAGCTACTCAGGAGGCTGAGGCAGGAGAATTGCCTGAAACCAGGAGGCGGAGGTTGCGGTGAGCCGAGATCGCACCATTGCACTCCAGCCTGGGTAACAAGAGTGAAACTCCGTCTCAAAAAAAAAAAAAAAAAATGTCATTTATATAATGTTAAATTGACATGCAATCAAGGGATTTTGTTACAATATCACATTTTGCATATTTTAGATAAGAATGGTAGCCTAGATTTCCTCTTTGGTTTGGTTGGTTTTTCTGTTTTATAATGCTCAACATTAATGGTTCATGATAGATAAGTCTGATAATTTAAATTATTCAGTTGCATTAAAAGTTCTCGTTGAGGTTTTCCCAAAATGTGCAGATCTGAAATGGAAAGGACTGAAGAGGGGAGCAAAAAAAACAAGATGTCTGAGACTGGCTCGGTTTGGCATCACTGACCTTGAATACTGAAAGAGCAATAGATTTGTATAAATATTCATATTAATACTTGAAAGAAAACTAAAATTGTACAGAACAGAAAAATCTGAATGTCTAATGTCAGCAGCCATGCCTGAGCATGGCTCAGCCACCACTTACCAGGAAATCAGTGTTAACTCTGAGTGCTATCAAGGCCAGGGAGTCTTCAGACTCTTATTTTTATTCGGCCACTAGTAAAAAGGACTTAATTATTGCAGGGCATCCTTAATAGATTAAAGTGACAACTTGACACATTTTTTAAGCTCTGTTTATAAATTTGCACAAATTGAAATTAGATTTTATTTTTTCTCCAGGTTTCCCTTAATCATGTTATTATCCAGGGAGAATCTTCATGAAAAAGTATAAATGTACTGCTACAGTTAGCTTTTCTGAGGTTGAATTACAATGTTGTATTAATACATTCTTGATATTTAACTAGAAACACAATGGCAAAATATTTTATAATGTATTTTATTCTGATTCATAGCCACTCAGTTTTTCTCTCAGGAGGACCTTTATGGAAATGTTTGCATTTTCTTCCTTGGAGAACATCCGAGAAATTACCTAGGAAATAATTTTCTTAAAATTGCTCAAATAAAAAAGACTGAATCCAGGCCAGGCGAGGTGGCTTATGCCTCTAGTCCCAGCAATTTGTGAAGCTTCAGCCCAGGAGTTTGAGACTAGCCTGGGCAACAAAGCAAGACCCTGTCTCTACAAAATATAAAAAAGTTAACCAGGCATGGTGACACACACCTGTAGTCGTAACTACTCAGGAGGCTGAGACAGGAGTCCAAAGCTGCAATGAACTGTAGTTAAAATTATACCACTGTGCTCCAGCCTGGGTGACAGAATTAGACACTCTTTTTAAAAAATAAATAAATAAAAGCATTCTAGCCCACCTTTCACAGTTACATTTTAGCACCATACGTTTTATAGCATGATTATTACCAGTGAAATTAATCACTTGATAAGTAATTTGTCCTAAAAGATGCAGTATCAACAAATGCCTACAGTCTTATGAGCATTTTTTGCTCTCGATGGATAATATCTAATATTATCAAATTTTAAAATATTTTCCTAAAAATCTTTTTTGGAGTTTATATATTATGTTCATATTCTTTAAAATATATATAGTCCACATACTTAAGGGATATTGATGTTGAATTTTAATTAACATAAATAACTAACTTAATGCCAAGACAGCTTTTTGTTTTTTTTTTTTTTAAAGAAACTATCAGGTACTTTATTATGAAAAGCTTCTGGCATCCTAAATAAAATATAACACATGTCCTTATATAGTTAGTAAAATCTATATAACATACTCCTCAACCTGAAGTTGGGGCAATGCTCAAGTTTATGTAATTACTACATAGGCCGTTTTTTCATTTGCTTTTCTACTGTTGCTAAGGTACTTCAAATGAAATATTCAAACCAAACCTTCCTTGTTTATTTTTATTTTTTTGCCAAAGTTATATTTGTAAAAATTGATAGACAGTGTTACCATGAACTTAAATATGCAAAACTTGAGTTAACTAGAATGCTCATGAAATTTACATTTTTCTTATTAGTAGGACTTTCTTTTTTCTTCTTTTCTTTTTCTTTTTCGTTTCCTTT